ATGGCAGACCTCTTACTTCTTGAATAGCCATTGTATCCAGTGCAACTTTGAAAAAAATGAGTGTCCTTATCAATTTTTCAGATTACTCCCTGGTAGGATAATGCAACACCATAATCATAAGATATTCGCGATAACTTATCGGATCATTCAAGTGAATTTTTTTAATCAGAAGATACTTCATTTACAAGATGTTTTATAGATGAGTTCGACACTGCCAACGAACATGAGATGTAGGTGACAAATCCTTTATACTCAGAGTTGATCGAAGTCTATCGCTCTACTTTGCTATGTGTCCTCTAAACTAAGTGATCCAGCTCTGCAGTACACTGAAGCTTATCTACAACCAGGAAGAAACTGATATTCCTTCGGTTATTGAATGTGATATGCGTCACTGAGTGTTCAAGTTAAAGACTTAAAAATTACGCTATTCATGTTACATCTAACCCTCTATAAGGTTAGATTCAATACGCAAATCAGTGAGCATTAAGGTTCAACCAATTTAGCTGCCTAAACCATTATGATAACCATGACTGATATCCACATATTATGCTGATGAGTACCAACAAGCACGAAAGCTAATTTTAGAGCTTCATGCAGATTAGCTCTTAACATCCAACGCCAAAACTGATTATTTTAAAGCTGAAAAATTGGTTGAAATTAGGTGTTTGTGGGGATTTAGAGATTTTTCAAGTTGGCATTCATAATGGACTGACTTCGATTGGAGGAAGATTGGAAGCCTAGGAGCATTGGACAGCAGCTGTTTCATCCTAGTACGGGACTCCTCAGCAGCACCTAGCCACGACCCCGCCAGGGATCGAACCATCGACTTTCAGGCTTGGTGGCCAGCAGGTTACCATTGGGCCACCAGGTCGAGACCCAGTGGTCCATATTTCGAGTGAACTAGTGCTCATTAATAACTAGCTTTGAGAGATGATTCCTGAAGTTCCAATGGGAAGTCATGACCACTGGAGAAAACCTGGTGGCCGTGAGGACAAATCCTCAACGATGACATTAGGTGGTGGCGCTATTTCATGGACCTACAGAACTTGGAAATATGGACCATTGTATTCTGACCCAGTGGCACAATGGTAACGTACTGGTCACTGGACCTGAGGGTCCTGGGTTCGGCCCCCGGTGGGGTCATGGGTCCGCACTGCTGAAAAGTCGCGTGTTAGGACGAAATAGATGTCTAGTGCCCCGGGGTTTCCAATGTTCCTCGAAATGATATCAATCCATGATGAATGCCAACTTAAAAAATGGATGCTGAGTACATTATAAACACAAATTCCACATGTCTAAAGTTTTTTCTGGTCCAGTTGTCTAGACACTGTTTCAAAACGTTATCAGTTAATTCAGTTAGAATTCACAAGAAGTTGAAGTGCATGATACATAGAACTCAGTATATTAACTTGAGTATTACTAAAGTAATGATCCCGGTTACTTATAACACTGGTCAGGAGCCAATAAATAGAATGAAGACAATGTGCCAACAAACATTCCGTTTGACTCGATTCAACTCCATTACTCTAGTGTAATAAATACTGCGAGTGGTGGTTTCCCCAACTAGCTTAATCTTCTAGATTCTAATAGTTGTTTACCACGATAAGTCTTTCTCGATCACGATTTCATTTTTTACTCAGGATGGATATATATCTTTTAACAGCACATTCAGTCACTTGAGTTTACTTCCTTGAAGTGTATACAAATGAATACATTTCAGAAAAAACTTGGGTATTTCTTTCAACACCGTCTTTATCACAGATTTCAGAAATTCTAGAACAATTAAAAACCTGGGGGCACTGAACAGCTGTTTCATCCTGATATGGGGTTTCTCAGCAGTGCACAAATACGACCTGATGAGGGATCAAACCAAGGACTGTCAGGTCATACGATGAACACAATACCACTCAGTTAGTATGTTCGAATCCGACGGTATACATTTTTCTGCTTCTATTACTTTATGATATAGTGTGAGCATCATTCTAAATTTTGGTAGAGTGCAACTTCATGAATAACTAATACAGCCAGAAGCGTATACACTGAGTTTTTCTAACCTTGTCTAACACCTTTGTGGCCTGAAAAATAAAATCACTCAACAGTAGATGAGCAACAATTGGATAGCATAAAATACAGTCAGCAGGTTAACATCAATGTGGAATCTGGCATTATTGTTTAACCATCTGTGTTGCAACACCTTATATCAGCACATCTAGGTAGACGGAATCAGGGTGAAAGAATAGTAAATAGCGAAGAAGGCAGTCCCAAATTGGTATAAAATTGTGAAAAGATTAGGAAGTAATGACACAATAATGAAACTCAAAATGACGGTTAAGATGAAGTCAGTGTGTGCATACACTTGCACTACTGGTATCCATTTGAAGTCATATTACCAAAAGTTTCTGACCACTGATTTCAGGTGACACGTAGACTCTTTAATCCAAAAGTTTACTTTTCCTTAAACTGCTCAAACTAACAATCACAGACTTCATGGACCGATATCATGTTTTAGTTCTGTCGCAGAATTAGGATATGAGAAAAGCTGAAATAATCCAAAGGAAGTTAGTGCTCAGTAGTCAATAGTCTATATGAACCAGCTACAGTTCTTTTTTGCGGCATTTGAATAAGGTCAAATGAGCAACCTTTAGATTAATCCCTAAACCACTAATTCACTTAACAATAAATACACAGAAAATATGGTGATGGAGAAATTTAATCAAACAACAAATGACATTTTCAGTTCAAAATGAAAAGCTCATCATTCCGAGAACATACTGTTTCCCCATTATCATAAGGGTTATCGATAGAAAACAGATGATAAGGGTGTTATTGTACAGTACCATCTCCGGGAAGTAGTTTCAGTCTCCCAGTAGTTGCACTGACAGTGAAAGGAAACATTCTCACATGAAACGGAAAAAAAAACCTAAGTGACCATGGTTTCTCTATAGTTTATTGAAAAAAAAGTAATTTGAGTGACTAAAATTTTCAACAACCTCTTCTTTAGTCTCTACACTTCATAACATCCATGAAAACTGGGGTTTTTGTTTTAGCGATAGGGGACAGAAACCTGTGTCCTATCATATTCCATAAATATGAGGCTATCTTCTAGCCACTTTCAGTCAAGAGCTGATACGCTGTACGAAGATAATAAATTTTAGGTCAATATAGTGAAAATGTTTGATAAACCTGAAGTCACTCTTCACCATGAATCACTATCAGTTGAATAAGGCCTAACATCAAGATATGCTAAACATTTGTTTCTATTGTTTTTAGATTTGACAGTATAACGCACCTAAAACTTCAATTTATATTAAACATGATGTAATCATACTCCATAGAAAGCATATTTGTCTTTAGATTAATGGTTATGATCCGCGTACTTAGTATTTGTTCCCGCAGTTTAGGAATGCTATGTGTGCTACCAAAGTGCAAGTTTGGGACAAAACGATCGCTACATATTAGGTTATTTTATTTGATACAGCATACAGTGATACAGCATTATTTGCTGAATGCCACTTTTTAGTACAATCTACTGCTAAAACCGGTTATATCAAAGTAATAAGGCAGACTTCAAACTCCTCTTCTCATTGTCAAACAGCTCCGCATTCCTCTATTTTTGGCTATGGCTTAATTTTCAGAATATCCTCCATCTCTGATGAATCTTTGCATTTAGGCGTTGTTTAGATGAGTAAAGATTCAGTAACCCATCTGTTCCTCCACTTAGCTGTTGTGTCAGTCTGTCCAAAGAAAATTTGGGATTGTGAGTCAATGAATGAAGAGTGAAAACCCAGCTGTTTCTTTGATTATTTGTTTGAGCAGGGTATATCATTCTATATTTCGTGAAATTTTCGTGATCTCCTATGTTGACTGAACTTGATGACCTACCTTAAGTCACATACTTGACATCGTAAACATCACCTTTGACGAGTTATTTTTCCCTGCTTAAAATGGTCTATAGGATCTTTTAACCCAAATAGTTTCACTCAGGCTAAGCTTTTGGGTTGAAACACCATCCTAACTACAGCGTTAATAATCCTATATTCAGGGGTACCGCCCGAATAAAGTAGCACTACAGAGGATTTGAACTCTTCTTCAATCACCTAACAATTATTACCAATAGTTTTATTTCTCCTTCCTTCGTAAGACCATTAAATTCTCACTAAAGTTCGTAGCAGGGTATTTTTGATCTGTTGAAATTCCGTATTTATGTTTTCCGATGTACAAGCCGAATTCCTGCCTCTTTTACTCAAACGTTTCATGAATCGTATCTCTACAGACTCAATGGAACTTTCTTGGCTAAACGATAACATACACGCGATTCAGCGAAATAATGATCTATCGAATATCATGAGTCCAAGTACATAGATCAAAGTAGTCGACCGAAGTCAGTTAGGATATCATAGCACAAAAATTTAGCAAAACACAGAATGACAGATTTTTAGAAAAAAATGTAATTTAGGGAAAATTTCAGCCCTGGCTGACTCATAACCACAGCATAAAGTGGTTCTTGCTGGTTATTCGACATTGCAAGATAACTAATTGGAGGGAGAAATGGACTTCTGAATCTCTATTCATTGAACCAGAACTAAAATATATAATGAGAATGATTCAACTGTAAAGGCTTGATGCAAGAAAAGTTCTGCCAGCCTTAAAATCGAATAGGGAGAAGTTTTTGCGTTCTTATTGTTTTATGCCAAGTGATAAACCTCAGCTTTTGCAACATTCGCAAACATTCTCGCATAAAGTATTAGCAGGGCTTTACAGTAAGGTGTGATGTTCATTAAGGAGGATGTGGAGGTGAATACCATTACGAATGCAAGAACTCACTTTTATAGCTTGTAAAGTGTTCAGTAGGACACAATATTTTAATTATGAAGAAATCTATTGAGAAACCCAGTAGGTTTACCGTATTATATAGCGAAGGTGATAACTAAGAAACAGAAAGCGGAATATTAAAGTTCAAACAGTAAAATCCTATTCATCAATACACGTTTAAAACTAACTTTAAGATGTAACTCAGATCAGATGAAAAAACCAGGATGATATAACGTTAAGCTGTTATTCTTCGATTCCCATGTTCCTAGATTTAATAATCCAGATTCTAGAACTATTACCTGCTAAACTGTGGTAATGTGTGATGAAAGAGATGGAAGTTGAACACCAGCAGTAAAAAATGGAAAATAACATTGGTCACAGGCCTTAGAGAACACATAAACATGATGAGAGACAACAAAATTTGTACAAGTTTAGAAGGGGTATCAGGTAAAGACAGTTAAAAGCAAGGTTATAAATCAAACAACAGGTGACCACTGTTATCTGACGACTTTGAAAAAAGCAACTAGCTAACAATAAGCAGCATAATTAGGAGTCGATAAAAACTCCACAACCAATTGTTTGTTTTCAGAAGGGTGGACACAGACTATATGAGATACATCAGCAATCTTTCAAAGAGCTGCTGAAATCGAAAACTTGAAACTCTGAATTCACTTTTAAGACGACTTAATTCAAGTCAAAAGTTTTTTAAATGGTTTTACATTAGGATATATCGGGCTTCCATCTACCTATGACATAAAATTTGGGAAAACATAGATGGACTGTGCGAAAACCGTATTTCCTTTAGCAAAAGTTTTCTTAACCAATAGAGAAGGAAAGTGTGGTTCTAAGAAGTGATCATTGCTGTGATGCCCAGTTTTGTGTCAAACATTCTTATTGATCTGAACATTTTAGCGTGCCATTCCCATGCCACCTTTTTACGGTATGACCAGTAGTCTTTTTTCTGCCCTTTGTAATGTCGCTGATTGGTTAATCTTTACACTTCCTATCCAAATGTCACAAATTGAGGACAAGGTCAAAAGATTGAATTATTGCTAGCATATCAAAACATTATAGGAAACAACCACAGTGTAGTTTGACAACTGAAATAATCAGACTGAAATGTGTGATGATTGACTGCATAATTTTTTATCCATATTGCAATTGTGATAGCTTTGCAATAGATACAAGAATAAAACAGTAGTTGTAGATCAATCACACTGGTTGCCTTCATTCGGCTAACCAAAATTTCCGAACTGTCTTTGCTAGAATCCTGTAATATGTTTGACAGCAGATTAAACCTCTCCTTTGCAGAGAACGACTTGGTACTGCATCTCTCGAAATAGAAGTGGTTTGCTTCTACCCAGTACCATTCGCTGTTTGATCTAGTTTTCAGACGTGATACAGATGACTTTATCCTCTCTAACCACCAAGCAATGAACGCATGGTGCTACTCTTGAGGTTTGGGGTTCGTGATATGATTTTTGCCCAGCTCCAACCTCGTACGGATCCATAGCTGGTGAATATCATGGCTTTTGGGAGATTAAATGCATCTGTAAACTGTAATACTTAGTCCTGTATAGGTGGTGAATGGATAAAGTTTAAAGAAACACCTGAAGCAGTTACATCTAGTTTAGTCCCCTGGACGATGCTCTGTATGCCAATAAACCGTCCTGATGGATCGATAGACTTGCAAAGAAACTTCTCGGAAGTTGGTAAAGGTAATGGGGCTTGTCCATATCTACTGTTATGAAGCGGTTTAGAATCTAAATATTGTGACTCTAAGAATTCTTACCAAAGCCTGATTACAAACTAGGAATTTACACAAAATGAAGCTTCTTGAGGATTCTCTCTGTTGTCCTAAGAGACCTTCCGCTCTAAATCCAAGGGAAAAACCCAGAGAAAAGATGACATTACACATTGACGATTTATTCAAAGTTGAAAAATTGTCATGCTGCTTAATTCATATATTCTCGCAACTTTATAAAGAATGCTCGGTTACTTTCTTCTAGTGTGATGATAGAACCAATGCCCGTTGGGGTGGACAACATGTCCAAGACACTAACCAAGGGAGGCCCAGTGGCCTAAATGAACTACATCCCAACAACTTATCAGCACTAGCGGATATTCTATCCGAATCGTTTTCGACACTGTTTAATATGTCATTGAACCAGTCACGAACACCAACAACTGAAACGATGCTATTATCAGCCCGGTCAAAAAACTGAGCTCAGGCATGCAGTCGCAAACTAGCATCCTCTTGGTCTGGCCAGTATAGTCATCAAACTACTAGAAAGGATCATTTGGGGCGTGGTTCTAAAATGTGTCAAGGTGAATTCTCACTAAGGACTTCTAGAGAAGTTAGAAAGTCGATATCAATAAGAAACTTATGGGATAGATTAACAGCTTTCTTAAGTGATAGAAGACAGAGAGTCAAGACTAAAATGACGCTGTCGTCGTAAAAACAAGTGGAGGGTGTAAAACTTCAGGCATCCTATTGTTTCTGCTATGTAGTGGTTAAATCAGTTTCTCTTTTTTTCGCAGATGACATTAAATTTTGAGTCCAGGCACAACCACGAAGACAAGTCACTTCTACAAAAAGATTTGAACTCATTACCTGGGTGGTTCAGTAAGTGGTCACTGTGGGTGAACACCATCAAGAATACAATCATACGTGTTGGTCTTGAAAATCAGCATGACAACAAGAATAATGACTGACATACCACCACCCAGCTTTTCACAGAAATTGTAAGTTACAACAGACCTCACAAAAGCAGCTAAAAACCCTTTCCTAGTCTTATATCCTCTTCTAAAGGTTTATTCAACATTTATCAGACTTCATTTGGAGTGTGAGATTCAAGCGGTAAATCCACGTTTTTAATATGAATCAAAAATGCTAAAACGTATTTAACTGGCAAGTGCTCAAATTTTTAATAGATCCCGTAACTTTTTTTATGAGGAATGATTTGATCAACCTGACTTGTTACCACAATCTTACCGGAAATTTATTGAGGACTTCATACTTCCGTCGTATTCGAAGTTATTATTTTGACACCTATCTACGTGATGTATTCCTTCAATTAAAGAAATAGTCATTTGAGATAACATTGCCAGAAAGTCCAAACCTTGGTCGAATCATCTGTGTCTGCAAATCCATTTTGCACACGAAATAGTGAAGAAATTGAATTTTTAACCAGAGAAAGTCATTTCTATACCTTCCATGGACACTTTCAATGTAGGATTGGTTCTCATTAGTACTCAACATCACAGTTATTGCTTCTGATTCTGGGAAACGGGATTAAAAACAATTTCTTGAAATTTCAATACAAGGAAAAGATGGTTACCTTACTAGACAGTTCGTGGAAGAGATATGTGAAGGAACACAAAAATGATTTGAAAAATAGCTATTACGGGCCGACAGCTTTCTTTTTAGCAGTGAACTTAAATGTGATGCCTTTACTTTTTAAATACAAAAAGTCTTCGAGATGCGGATTGGATAGAGGTTAAATAACCTCATAAATAACACAGTTTTAATTATAAGATCTGTAAATGAAGACAACTGAGTGAAACAGATTTATTTTGGAGAATTGCTGGATGTTTTCTGGACTATAAATGCTTTATTGTGAGTTGAAAATAAATTCTAAAATATAGGACAAAGAAATAGTCTAGAGTAAGCCTATTAGTCTAGACACGAATAAACTTATGTGCAGCATTTTAATAGATTACGAGTGGTCTAGCGCTCTGTTCTAAACTCATATTTATTTCAATATACATGAAAAGTAAATCTAACCTGGTATCTGGGTTATAATATAACCCCAGAAGAAAGCTCCTAAAACCAATCCTTGAGTTAGCCTGTCCCAGTTTAACTCTCCAGCATTAATCTTGATAAAAACACATAAAGGGAAGAAGTCAAAGTTACCTTAGTACTAGTCAATGCTTCCTCTCTCGAAATGTTAACATTTGAGCAGAAAAATGTTTCATGTGTCTTGGGGTTTTCATCCACTGTGTCATTTACCATTGCAAGTATTGTGACATTTAGATCAACCCTCATCATATAAATCAAAATACAATTTAAAAACCCCATGATGGCAATTATATAACGACATTTGCCACAGAAAACCTCTCTCAAACTGTTCATCTTTGCACTGAGTAAGCAGTTAAGATAACTTGGTAAGCTTAAACAATATACGAAGTCCAACAGCATCTAATGCAAATAGTGCTTACGTAAGAAACTGATAACTTTTGTTCTCTCGCGTCCAGTTAGTTAGGCTTGAAATTTGTCATTTGATTTGCCCCTACATGAGGTAAGGATATCTCTTCCGCATTCAAGCTTTTAACTCTGGTGAGATGAATGCTTTTGCGAGTTGGTAATTTCAGTTTGTAGACTGAGATGGTAAGGCAGTTATAGTTTTCTGGGAAAATAAGGAGTCTTCCACAGCAACTGTCTGCACAGACGACTGAATGGTAATAGCAAAAGAGAGTGAGGAAAGCTATACGGGACTTACCCGGATGGTAAAAGTAGGCTTTACAAGTCTAGCTATCAGAGAAAAGATGGTGGATCATGCGTATGTACCCAAAAGACAAACGCTGAGGGATAAATAAGGAAAAGTCAGTATGTTCAGTGATCCTCTTAGCATGAATATTGCAAGCCATATGGGATAAAGTAAACGTCTGCCTCCTAAATGAGTCCAGGGAGGGCTGTGAGTGCATACTGCGGAAAGGCCTATCGTGAGAGAAAACCGTAAGACCTGAGACTGAAGACAGTATGCAGTGACACTTTTCTCCAGAATCAGTCGCCTGGGGTTCAAAGAGATTCAACATTGGTGCTGACCTTCATAGTTTTACTGGACTCGCTAAGCCGTAGGCACCCGGTCAAGCATCCTAGCCATTTGGCACGCTGTCGCGTTACGTTGCACTGCTCGTAATCGACCTTCCCGGCCAGTTAGTTGGAATGCATCGGTATCTTGACACGACCTCGCAAATATACTATTCCATCCGACTGCGCCATTGTGTCCCTTCTTGGTGTCTTATTCGTGGTCGTAAAACAAGTTCGAACAATTAGTGGTTGACCCCTGCGTCCGTCATGTTCGCACCAGGACAGCTCCTTGATTAGTGGGTCCGACGTGATAGCAAATCCCGACCAGAAAACAGATCTTAAATTGGCGAGCCTATTCCGTTTTTTTACTTCCACATCTTTTTCATTTCGATAGACTTCATATATCCATATACTACTCCTTCCCATATCCGACCATACTCTGAAGATTGTCCTTATTAAGCCGAAGACGAATACTATCCAACTTGTGCTACACTGGCAAGATAATGCAGAAACATGGTTTCCGAATGATGAGGCAGATTTTCGAGAACAAGTAGTCGGAGATCCATATTCTCCATGTCTTGC